GTTAAAATATATACAACGGCATCGATCTCATTTACAAAACTCACTGAGCACTAAAATTCGTTGTTAATACATGATCTTACTGAAAAACTATTTTGAAACGCTCGGTCCTACATTTGGGAATCGCAAAACGCCTTTTGCACCGGAGATTATAACACAACGGCCCTGACGATTGAAACATTTTATGTAAGCTATGGGCCGGGTCATTAGCAATCGAGAGGAAGTTCCTTTTACATAAGCTAGCGATGTAGTCATTGATAGACATAATATTTGAAAGCTCTGAGGCCTCTCTACAGGCCAGGTCCGGGCAAATGATTGAGAATGCCCGTTTCTCTACATTCTCTAGATCTTTCTTTAAATACAATCAGTGGTAGGGCGTAGAAAAACGCCGGCGATGCGCAGGTCAGGACTTACCTTATACAAGATGTATAAAAAAGAATTAATTCCTGCCTTGCGACATTGGCCCTTTTCAATTGTATTAGGAAATACATACGTTTAGAAGCTTTCTTTATAGTTTGATCAATGAGCTTATTCCGCATGTAAGGTTGTTGGAGATAGTAACACCTAGCCGGTAATTTGGCGCTTTCGACACATTCTAGCTCTTGGTTATTTACTACTATAGGCGCGAGTTGTGGTCTGTTCTTTAGGTTTTATTGGTATAAGGCTCTTTGAGATACAATGAATATATAAAGTTACAATGAATATCTAAGGCTCTTTGTATAAATCATTGCTTTTTCAAACTAGGGGAGCTGGGAGGGGGACCATATGCATCTAATTCTTACGACCCCCCACCTGTTATTCCCCTCGATTGATGATTAACAAAGCAGCAGCAGATGTAGATAAGGGGGGGGGACTAAAACCCCCGACCCCGGCCCCGATCCCATCTCTTCTGCATATATGGCCAACCTTGAAAGAAAAAGCGAGATATCCTTCTCCTACTTGAAAGTTACTCTCCTACCTCGCTAGTCTCTGTCGCACCTGTAGTGCTTTGCATAATCTGCGAATCGAAAGTCATTTTTTAAGGGGAATAAATATAAAACTTTCAAGTTCGGTGTAGGTTACTAGGACAACGAGGGAATAAAGGATTTTGTCAATAACTATACGGGAATATATCTTTCTTTGTTATGAAATTAAATTGCATGCAAAAAGATTACTTTCTCAGTTAATCGAGGGTATTTGTTTTAATACATTTGATGTGAGGAAATTTCGATTTTTTTTTTATATCGACACTGGCAATAAACTAGATACGTCGAAAAAAAAAAAAAAACCACCGGTATTATTTTCAACTGTGATGTTATTAATAAACAGCCCTTTTTCAATTTAAAAATGCTTACCTCGTTAAACTGTCGACGCACCCTGCCGCGACATCAGGTCTGTCATCTGCTGATTACGAATCATATGCCTTCCACTTCGTTTCAAAAGTTCGTGTCGATTTAACATACAATTTAATTCACATAATGACGTACGGTGTTTCGGTTAGCGGTTCTGGGTTCTGTCCGAGAGCTGACTGCAGATTGAAAATCATGACCATGTTTGCTATATGATATTGTATTTTTTATTTACCTTCTTTTCTATTTCTTGCTTTTCCTGCTCTCTTCTTGCGCTTCTTTGTAATTTCCTCCTTGCTAGTCTCCGCGCGTTCAACACATTTCCAATATTCGGTGATTTAGCTCTTGACAAATCCATAATTCGGTGGCACCAGCAATATATGGAGTATGTGTATGTTTGACAGTTGTATCGAGCTGTTGTTTGACTGTTAGCCTTAACAAAGTGAAAACACTAAAGCGTGGTCCTCCTTGAATAAGAAGTAAACATCACCGAATAAATTGGTTTTGTCCTATCGACGATGCTTTTTTGTCAACTAAAGTAGTAACGTGTGACTGAACTGGACACATTAAGTAGCAGTGGGTCTTGAATATTTAATGATGTTTGCAGACTTCAAATGCTACCCTCAATACGTTATTCTTTTGAGAGATTAACATCGTGAATCGATTTAGCACGAACAATCGCGATTTAATAGTTTTCCTCTGCAGTTTGACATATGCTATAAAAACAAGGGATGGTTTTATTTGTGGTGGCGTAGCTCACCCGTCAAATAACCTAATATGGGGCTATCGATGGAGTCAAACCAACTCAAAATTGAAAATACGATTCATTGATTTTCATTTTCACGAGTCTTTGCAAGTTCTTACCAGGAACCTCAATGTAACTTTACGAAATGAGTCATCGAAAACACCGTTATGATAACGTTTGAAGATAGAAGATTTATTTTTGATACTTCTTGTTAACAAACATCGGCAACTTACTGATGTGTCCTAAGACAATGATAGGATTGATTTCTGCATAATCCCTTTGACTAACTATGATTTCTGAGTGAAAATTCTGCAGCTGTTCATAAGATAAAAGATTGGCTTTCTTTGTCCTTGGATCGACTTCTTCGAGACGTTTAAAAAAATTAAAAATTGAAATCAAGAGAAGATTGAAATCTTGAATATTTTCCGAATGTTGCAAACGGTAGCACAAAATTCATTGAAAATTTTTTTAAAGAGGGAAATAGGTTCTAGAGACGCTTTTTAGAATGACAACAATTCTCAATTTGATCTAAAATAAGACACAAACAGCAGTGATAAACACATTGAACTTACACATTTTGATTAATTATGACTTGACGTTTCGTATATACGAAACGTCAAGTCATAAACAAAATGTGCAAGCTCAATGTGTTTCTCACTGCTGTTTGTGTCTTGTTCTTGGGCCATCGTAATTTGATCAAAAATAAGACACAAACAGCAGTGAGAAACACATTGAGCTTGCACATTTTAATTATGACTTGACGTTTCGTATATACGAAACGTCAAGTCATAAACAAAATGTGCAAGCTCAATGTGTTTCTCACTGCTGTTTGTGTCTTATTTTTGATCAAATTACGATGGCCCAAGAACAAAAGAATTCTCAATTTGTAACAGACCGGGAAATTTTTTCCTATCTCGAAAGAATCCAGAACAGAACGTCGCCATCTTGTCGTGAAAACTAATTGACTGTTTTTTGTCAAAATTTCCAGGCGAACATAAATTAACGTGCGCACACAACACTTGATTAAAGAGATCTTATGCGACGGAACATAATAAGATTGAGTACTACAAATTGTGAAAAAAAAGCTCCGATGTAACAAGGTCCACGGCGAAGAGATTACTAGTTTCCGGCTTTTATCCAGGGAAGAAAGACAAAAAGTATGCTACGATTTGTGAAAGCTACAATAGCTTAGGATACACAATTTTATGAGTTTCTTGCGTTAAGAATTAATTAGAGTAAGACACTTTTAGAAAAAAAACCGTGATTTCAAAATTCTTCTTCACGACTCTTCATAATGACACTTACCCGGCCGGCCCTAGCAGCAAAACGAATTGGTCAACACAACTTCTGGTCAGAAAAGCCGGGCCAGAGTGGAGGCAATTTGAAACAGTCTTGTTTTTAGCGGAGTCTTCCAAGGTCCTCTTAGCGTCTAAACACAAGGCCTTTGTTTGCTGTTCTTCCGGCTTTTAGTAAAAATTGACATTTTTGAAAGGAGACTGATTACTAGTGTCATATTTCGCAGAAGGTAATTTGCAAACCATTTTCACTTCTTTAATGAGCTAAATTATCGCACGACCACAAACGAAGGTTTTTTGTTTACCCTAAATGCATTCAACATTTCCGAGCAGAAGTACATTCTCGTGACACTTACTATGAACAAAGGCGAACTTGAGCTAACAATTTAGCCTGCGGTTAGCGGTCATTACGTTGCTAACAAAACCGCCAACCTGTCCCTAAGGTAGGTCTAAATCTTAGGTATATTTCTCAATGATAGTAAAGGGGAGCATGAATATTTGTCTTGATATTTACCCTCGGAAGTTTGGATGAAAAAATTAAGAAATATTTTCTTACACAAGTCTCGTGTTTTTTCAATATGTAGATGTTGACCTCAGATCCTTGTGCGATTGTTTTATGTTGTAGAAGGTACACTTTGTGGGCGGTTTACTAAATTACACGTGTCCTGTGTGGTAGTTCTCGTAACATTAGGAGCCCTCTGTGATCAATAGGTTCAGGCGTTACGTGCCCTTTGCAAGGGGTTCATTAAACGGCGTATGGGTTTCCCGCTTAGTAGATGTTCACTGTTCAACAGGTTCACTTCCTGTTAGGTACCCTCTACAGTAGGTCTACCTCGCTCCACTGTAGTTAGTTGTAGGTTCAAACTTTGTAGCTACACACCGACGACGGTTTCTTACGTAGGGTTAGGGTTTCTTACATCGCACAACAATTCTACAGAATTGAGACAAAACCATACTTTACTTTTATTCACTTCATTAAAAAAAAGCAAGGGACCATTCCTTGCTTTTGACAATGTAAACATTCTTTTCACAGCTAAATGGTAGCTATCTATCTAGTTGTTTTCTTCCTCTTTAAGAGAACTGCGACAAAGTTACACAATTAAAAAAGCTAGAATAGACCACAGAAACAAACAAAAGGTATTCAATAATAAAGCAGAAACGTAGAATAGCAACATTCAAAGCACAGTCAGTGTTTGTCATTTTTTATAGTCGAAAAATGAATCGCTGTTTTTCAAACTGCTGTGTCATTGAAAGAAGATAGTGAACCTATTTTACAAATTGACGGCATTAAAGTTAACCACTGGATGTCTCCGCAGCACGTCAAGTTAGATTTGTTCCAAGGTCACATATTGGGACTTAATCTACATAACACACGTTGGTTTCAGCAGTCTTGTGTAACTATGGTTTGACCTTTTAGTTCTCATTACTTTAAGGAGTTAATTGCTTTCATGCAGGCTATTCTAAGATAAATGAACAATCTTAAAAAAAAAAAAAAAAAAAAACCACCATAAGACAAATCAAAACAAATTCTTTCAACTTTCCTAAACTGTATGAATACACTAATAAAAAAAATTTAACAACTATTTTTTTCTACTCGAGTGTGATCTATGGCAATTGTTCTTATCGATGTGTTTAACTACTTCAAACGAGTCAATAGTTTTGAATACTATTGAATTACCTCCACAGACCTGAGTAAATTCTCAGGATTTTCATCATAACTCAATGCAACAAATTAAAAGAAAATGTTTGTTTGTATTTGGGATGTAACAGATTTTGATACTAGTTTAAAAAATTGGAACCACTTTCAATTGATCGTCATCACCGCCCACTGTGATTGGTCTTGAAAAAATCGCGCCACTATCTCGACCAATCAACCTTAACCAATCGTGACTCGGTCTGTCGCGTTTTCCCGCGTTTCAAGACGTTACCTTGTTTCCACTTTGTGCTGTCATTGGCTCCTTGGTTTTTGTTTCTTTCTTGCGTTATGACTGGCTTTGGTGAAAAATCTGGCCCCGATTTGTGACGCTCAAATGAAATACGCTAATAAAACCTAACATTTAAGTAATATTATACCTATGATTCCATATATTAACTTCACTTGTATCAGTAACACTGACCAGCCATGACAAGTTCATATAAATTACAACACTCAGTTGAAGTTTGCTGGTGTTATACAAACCAATAAGATAAAAATACCTTTTATTGCCTAAAAAATATACTAGTTCTATTGTTCAGTGATCTTACTTCATTAAAATATTTGACACACTTTAGGCATTAAGTTTGTATTTCATACTGTACTAAGATGCTTTCTATCTCTGCAAATAACACAATTAAAAAGAATTACTCTTCAAAACTACTAGACGACATTCAGTAAAGAAATAAATAGGACTTTTACGTATGAAATCTCCAATATACGATGTTGACATCATAAGAAATAAGTAAACTCTCTCTTACACTAAAAGGTCTTTACTTGGATCAATTTATCTTACACCAATTTATGTTAATAATTGAATAATATCGCTATCTTTTCAATACGTGAATAATAGGACAAAAAAACGTTACGATAATTTAACAGTCCTCTAAGTATTTTGATAATAAAAGCAAAAATACCGAGAGGTCCTGAGTATGAGTTTGTCACAATACAGTGTACGAGATGACCTTACAAAGGCATTCTTATAATACGAGACTCTGAGTTAACATGAAGACTGCGAAAAGAAATAAAACAAATTACCACCTAAAAGATCGTAAGACTAAATATCTTCCACTACTCTGACTAAAAAATTGAAAACTCAGTGGTTAAAACGATGATTTTGTTGTTACAACTGTTATAAACACTCGACCAAAACCCATCGTGCAATGGTGTCAGAAGTGCAACAATTACAGACATAAGAATTGTCTAGCAATTCACAATTTTGAGAGAAATTTTACGTAGTAAATAACAAAGGAAAAAAAAGAAAAGATATGAATCCCCAAGCTAGTATAGTTTTTTTTTTTGCTGTCTTAGAAGTAAACTTATTAAAGATTAAAGCTATACTTTCTATCGATCATATACCATTCCTCGTATGACAATGTTAACTGAAACTTTCCAAATCGTTTTCATTTGTCATCTGATTGTATCAACAATTTAAAAACTAAAAAGGTTTCTTTTTTAAATGCGGCTACAGTTAAATCAAAACACGCTGATTTTAAGAATTAAAAAAGGCAGAATATATTGTTAAAAATACTTTTTCTCAGATAACTATTACTTAGAAAATAATCTTGGTTACATTTTATGCAAGTAGCAATGTTATAAAAGCTAGTTGCCTTTATCAGAAGTAAATAAATAAAATTTCTTGGATATAAAAACGCTACCACTACTGATTAGCTGTAATCTCTATAGAAACGCCAAAGTAGGCATTTTAACTCATTTGTACATCTAAGTATATGCTATTGTCAAGAATAGAAAAAAGTATTTTAAATCGGGGATTCTCGTCTTGAACGTTTTCAGGAAGTTAATGAATTTCTGCTTAATTTAAGCTGGTAATTCACAATTAAACCCAAATCCTGAAAACACAGTAACATTATGGACTGTGTTCCACTCATGGAAACTACATTAATGTTAAAAACATAATTTTATGGAATATTTAAAATAATATTTTCAAATATGCATGGCTGAACTGTGTTATTGATAAAGTATTGAGAATTTAACTTAATAATAGGGAAAATTTTTTAACTTATACTTGATTCTAAAAATAGAATAACATTAAAAGACTGCTACCTTGGCCTCAAAGAAAAACTTATCACCTGAAAAGTCCAACATCAAAAAATCAACCACAGATGACCGTTCTTCTACCTCAGCATGACACATTTATCTGGAAAAGATTTACCAAGCCACTTGGTCACCACACTGTTAGAGGTAGAGACACGTTGGAAAAAAAGGTAGTCTCTCTGGAGAATTTCTGTGTACAATTCCTGTTTGCAAAGATCACACACACCCAAATTTCCAATTGTTTCAGAAATACATCTCTTCACTTGCTAACATTATTTTTGGTGAGAAGAAGGCAAGGAGAGAGAGAGAGAGAGAGAGAGAGAGAGAGAGAGGGGGAGAGGGGGAGAGGAAGAGAAAGAGAAAGAGAAAGAGAGAGTAAAGCTAGAAGATTTGAAAGGCAACCATAATAAAAGAATGTTAATGATCTAAAAAAAATTTTTTACCACCAGTTTGATTTTCTTACGGCACACTGGACATTTCTTCTTTTCTTCCTTAAGTCTCTCTGCACATCCAATGCAACACACAAGATGACCAGTTCTTCCATGAACAATACTTGCATTTCGAGGTTGCATCAAGCAAATTATGCACAAGTCAGGTGTAAATCCTGTTGCTGAGTTTTCATTGTTATAGTTCTGTTGCAAAGTCTTGTTGGGATTTTCAGCTTGTGATGTAGCATGATTTGAAGCATGTGAAAGTCTTTCAGTATTCTCCTTTACCGATGAAGATGAACCCTCAATATGGGATGCAAAATTAGGAAGTGGTGCAACTGTTGATAAAGCTACTGTTGAAGATGGATGGTCAATAGTTGGTGTAACAGCAAGAGAGGAAGATTTTTGGAGAGAAGGTAAGCATGATTTGTCTGTTAATCCTGACAAATCTATATTAGCTTCTGAGGTCAATCTGTGAATATAAAAGAAGAATGATAAAAATTCCTCACTTATTACTATTTCCATATTCTTTGTATCTCAAGCTATTAAGAACTTGATTATCAGATTTACCTAAAACCCCTGAAATAAAAAAAAAATTACTGTTGAGTTACNNNAAAAAAAAAAAAAAAAAAAAAAAAAAAAAAAAAAAAAAAAAAAAACAGATGGAACCACAATACGGTAAAAACAAAAAAGTGGCATATAATGCACTGCCAAATGTATAACTGATGTCTTTGCTGTATTATGAAGTCTTCTGATACCTGTGGGAACATGGAATTTTTTTGTTTTATATGGTAAAAAATATATATTGTTAATGGTGAGTGATGTCATCAACCTGTCCTCCACTATCTAATTAAAATGTGTGGATAAATATAAAACTTAATTAAATATGTTCAGACCTTTTCAATGTAGGAAGCCAAGCTTGTCTCTCTCTCCAGCAACGAGCACATCGGGGAGAAAATGGATGGTTTTTCAAGTCACAATGTGAACACGCCCAAAAATCATCTTCATCAAATTCTGATTCAGATTCCCTATCTCCTTCATATTCATCTCCTCCTTCAGCACCAGGATCTTCTTCTTCTGAGCTGATTATATCATCTAAATGAGAGCGGTTAGAAGCCAATAGGTGTTGAGTTCAAATGTTGTTGCATATATGCAGCATTTGTGTTTTTTTCCCCACCTCTCCAGGGTCCTGTGAATTATTTCTTACTACTTACATGATGCATACTTTGATGCTGGTAGAAATTAATTAAAGCACTGCAAGGCTTATACATATCACATAATTATGGCTTATCACATAATTGTGCTTGTGAAAATGCCTGTGCACCAAAATGTACAATTTGAACTCTGCAGCTCAATATCTTCTGTCAGAGACCAAACACTTCATACTAAACAAACCATCTCAGACTACACTTTGAATCTTCCCTTCCAAAAGGGTGGGAGCAAATATTCCATGAAAATTTAACATAACTGCTGGTAGCATACAATTTTTGTTCTTATGACTTCACATTTATTTCTAGCAAATGCTGGCGAATTGGTGATTTCTGCCAAAAGACATATGCACTATAAGTTTCCTCTTATCTGTTCTTAGACTAACTGCTCAAAAAATGCAAATATTTTTCCATCACAAACCCGTTTCACTTTCATCCTCATCTTCTGCCTCTTCCTCAGGTTCTTCAGCATCAGAGTCAGGAGGCTCGTATTCTACAGTCTCTACAGTTTCTACAAAAAAAATAATAATAATAAATACATATCAGCCCATCACATCTGAATGAATGAATGAATTCCTTATTTATATTGCACCCTTTCTATACAATATTCAAAGGCGCAGTACCCCCCATCAATTTGATAGACACTACACAAAGATAGACCACAACACCGGGCACTATGTGCCCTACTCTTTTCGAACAGTGTGTGGGTTCTTTAACGTCCACCAAATTTTTTTTATCACATACAAAGGGCTTGTGAGATGGGACCTCCATTTATCGTCTCTATCCAAGAAGAATAGAAAGTCTAACCATTTGCAGATATTATTACAAAGCCAGCACTTTCTTTTCAGTTATTTAAAGAGTAAGGGATTGATGGAAAAAAGGCTACACCCTTTTGTAGAAGGTTATGTGTACCTCATCTATACCTAGCCCTGCCCCTTACATAATAAGACAAATCAAATGAGTAACTTTCAAATATTACTACTGAGGTAAAAACAAAGGTTTACAAACTGTCACTTCTTAAAAGAAATAGCATCTGATCTTTTCATATCCCTCAAAGTAAATCTTAATCTTCCATTCTTTACAGCTCAAGTGCACAAAAGTAACATTATTTCATCAAAGCAGCACTTAATTGCTACACGCTTTAAAAAAAGATGCTGACTTGCGTACCATTCAGAAAAAAGAGATCATCCTCTGAGTCAGTCACAACTGCAGTCACAGCAGACTCGTAACCTTTCACAAAATAAACTGTGCTGGATGATTCAGATAATTCACTCTCACTCTCTGATGCTCTTGTTGATTTGAACCCGATACACCAGGGAATTTGCTTTGGAGGACTGTAACTACCTTTTACCCCAAGAACATCTGGAAAAGAAGAAAGCACATTCAATATAACAGTCAGAGTTCTATTTTCACTACAAAACCTTGCAAATAACTCACTTGGTTGACATGTAGTTGTTTATTATTCCAGAAATCAATCTAGAGACATGGTTTTACACCACAGTTAGTGTGTATTATAATAGATATAACAGTGTTTGAAATCATGATTTTACAGTGAAATTATCTGGCAAAGTGACAATAAAGAAGTTTGTTCATAATATGTTAATGACATCATGCTCAGCAAGAAATTGTGTACTTTGGTCTTGGACTTCTAAGGGCAGAGAAAGGAATTTGAAAATCAAATACATGTAAACAGTGACACATGACAAACACAATCAGCTTCAGTGCATCAACAAAATTGTTTAGACAGTAATTGAAACTACATTATAGGGTGAAACCTTTGGCACAGACATATATGTTTAATTCCATAACAAAAATAACCCAGTATTTGTTAAATTAGAAATGATGAGATTGGATCAGTTTACCACATTGTAACTAGTTTCCTTGAAAAGCAAGAAAGTGGAAGACAAAGAGAAATCTAAAAAGCATTTACAAACCTGTCAAGGATCCTCCTTTTCTTTTTCTACATTCTACAGTCTTCTTCTTACCAAAGCCTCCTGTTTTGTTTTAATTATAAAATATAATGGGTCTTTCAGGAACCTGTCAAAACTTAATGGGGGCCACAAACTGGCATGATGGTATTTCAACATCACTGATCCCCTCAAATCTCATAACAGAATTATATCATTACTCGCATTTGACATTCAAATGCTGTAATTATTACACTGAAAGCACAATATATTTATGCCTTGTGGTTAACTCTCCATACAAATAACACTTATCAAGAATGTCCTCAGAGGATTAAAGACAAACATTCCGCTCCATACCACAATAACATTTATAGTAAGAGGGTGCTCAATTATAATTAACAATGATTTTCATTCTACACTAAACTACTGGAAGTTGTTGCTTTATTAAGTTTGGACAGTATACTTTTTCACATGCATTGAGTTGGTCTGTTAAGGATGGCTAAATGACAGATTGTAAAAACATGACTGTGATTTTAAAAATGAAAAATGTTAGAGGCTTGTAACATGCTAATAATAATGGTGTTACTTTTCAGTATAATTTTAGTTAAAAAAAAACATAGAATATTGGTTACCTTGCTCATTGTCTGAACTGTCACACTGCGGAGCAATTCGTATCTCACTTGAAAAATCAAATGAAGAAACATTCATGAATATAAATTAGCAAAACTTTTAGTTATTGATGAACTGAAGTAACACTCCTTCAAATTGTCTAATGAATTCCATTAGAGATCTGTGACGGCGTGGTAAGGTCATATGATTGTAATCTGACATACAGAGACAATAGTATTGAATTACAACAGAAAGGAGGAGTGTGGAAAGATTAACCTTTGAGCTCTAAGATGTTTTCATAACAGGAAATCTCAACTTTTTCCATGCTCAAGGTCACACAAACAACAAAACATAAATAAATAGTTTAGTTTATTCATACTAAAACCTACACATAAATAACATTAAATTAAGACACAATTTTTGGTACAAGGAAGCTCGTCACAGTGGGTAGGCTCTTAAAATCTTAATGGAATTTTCAGCTAAGTTACAATCTCAGTGAGCAGTTTTTAAAGGTTGCCTCTATTTTGGGGTACATTTACATGCAATAACCATGGCCCCCCAAAACTCCATTCAGTTTCATTTTTCAAACCACACTTTCCCAAAAATTTCTCCATGTACATCCAAGGTACACACCATGTAAATTGGATTTCAGGTTTTATATCAATAAGGATGAAACATAAAGTGCACCCTTTAAGTGCTGCTAAGTGTCTTACTCCTCAATGAACAAGGGATAATTTTTGTACACTCTTACAGTCTTGGTGTGATCAAAGCCCTTTACTCTTACAATCAACTACCACTAGTACTAGAGAAAGAATTGAGGTGCTACTTTTCTTGAAAGAAAGGGTATTAGATTTGTCTAGCAGCATGGGGTTTAAAAACTGCATGAAATAAAGACATATAATACTATACTTTGTGCTGCATATTGTAACAAATTCAATCAGTTTACAAAATATTGAGTGCATTTCAGCAGAAGCTGCTGTATTGACACTAAGTTATCCCAGTCTCATGCAGGGCTTGCAGCATTATTTTCTGTTGAAAAATGATAAAAAATTTTACTCCACCCTAATAATCTACAGAGCATAAAAGCCTCAACAAATTCAGAAAACATTCTGCCCAAAGAGAGCCTTTATCACATTGCTGCATGAAAAATAGAACAGGCATGGAGAATAAAAGCAGCAATGTAAAAATGAGAAAAGTTTGTATGAGCTGGTTAATGGAATGCCTAGCTAGACCAACACTAATTCACTAATACTGATAAAGTCCTTAAATATGTTAGAACACGTTAACAACCTTAGCTATTTTGTACACCAGCTTGCCAGAACCTTCACTCTCTATCAATTCACTCTACTTAATAATGAATATAACCTAATTGAGGAATGTCATTCACAGGACCGACTGCATCAAGATGGAAAATCTAGTAACCCTAAGTCAGAAGTAGATGAAACATCCTATTCTATTCTATGAGTTTGCATAATTTAGCAACATAAAACACTTGAACCAGTATTATTTAAAGGCAGTGAACCAAACCTAAATGAGCTGAGGAGATTGTTTAGCTGGAGTGACCACGTTTCTCTAATTGCGGTGGGGCAGTTGTTTAGACTTGTTCGATTGGCAAGCCTCGGCTTGTCCTAGTTATCAATACCGTGGTGATACAGCTATCAAGATGGAATGCGAATGTCACTCACTCCCGATGGTGGATCACGAACGACATCTTTGAGCCTCTAAACCGCGCATTTGACGGTTCGGTAACACATTCTGCACCTCGCTCTCACAGGTCAACAACATGTAAATGAAACTAAAACACCACGAGGTCTTGCTTTGTGAAGCGAAGAGCAATGTGATGTTGACGAGATGAAAGTATTGCAGCGTTTATCAGACGATGTAAGCCGCTAGGTACCGAAACCCTCTGAGCTTTTAATATCGCTAGAAGAATGTTAAGATCGGCAAAACGATGAACAAAAAAAACCAATAAACTCGATCACATCACACAACACTTTGATCGAATGTACGATGAGGGTAAAACAGTTGGTGGGTTCCTGGGTCACTTGGACGAAAAATGAGAAGAATAGTTCAAAATCTTAACAGCAAGGCTCTCATGACAACAACCACAGGTTCTGAGATCTGATTAAGAGGGGAAGGAAAGTGAAAATAGAGATGCCAAGAAATTAGATACGGTCTGGCGTTAAGCGTGGGAAAACGACCTTTAACATTTTTGCCTAAGCCGCGTCAGTCGTCGGCCTATAATCCGGACTTTACTTCAATTTCGCGTGGCGCGATTGAGGTATGAAAATTCTTCATAGATAAGTAGAATGAGTCTTCACCAAATACAACAAGTTTAAGATTCCTCTGGCGAAAATGAAAGGCCATAACGAGTAACCCGACCTCTTGACACGGGACAACAGATTATGTTCTCGTAGCAAATGTGTAATTGAATGGCTAAAACTATTTTTACAATAAAATCATCACCTAAAGATTCACTGACCTCTAAAATTGAGTGAATTTCTTATGTTTTTAATGGCAAAGGGCGCGAAAATTCTCAGCTCACATTTCTCAGTGAACTTTAGCGTAGGTACAATTCTGTGGAGATTTCGGATATGTCCTTTCATGTCCCAAGATATAGCGCAGCGAGATGACTGTGGTATTTACGGCGGTGCAAAACAGAGAAACGGCAAAATTACTTAATTAAAATGTATCCCGAGCTAAATGTTTGCCGTGGATTTTGTTATCAATGGGAGATTTCGCCATAACTTCACCATGCGATTACAAAAAATATTCACAGTTGAATTTTGCACTTCAAATGTCTGTTAAGCTAACTGTCAAAATCACAGTATTTAAGCAATCACAGCGCAAAAATACCGACAAAATCAATGACCTAACTAGAGAAAGCGAAAAAGCTGGGCTTATAAACAACAACAAAATGTGAATTGCGGAGAAGCTGCCTTCGCTCCGAAGGAAGCTGTAGTAACATTACTTCATGATAGAATCAGGGCTCTCGATAGCAGAATTTATCGGACAACTTGACAGATAAATAGTTGAAAGTACACTCTAACTTACCAAGCCTTCTGTTCAACCAAAGCGCCATCCATAACCTTTCCACTAATCTCCTCACAGTCCCTTCACTCCAGGTTCACCAACTCACATGAAATTTCTTGTCCCAGGTTCAATTCACAGAACCCGAAGACCTACAATTCTGCACTTAGGAGAATTTCACTAATGCTCAGCTGAAACACCACTGGATTGTCTAAAACGATTCTCTTCTGTTGAGATGAACCTCTCTCGAGCAAAATGAGCTTGGAAGTAAACAACAAAACTAAGTAGAAATGGGTTTGAGAAAGAAAAAATGGCGTTCAGTATTTGGTTCGAAACCTATGGCTCGAATCTTTGGGAAGAATTTCTCTCTATGACACTAGAACCTGTGCACATCTTACCGGATATGAGAGCTTGAAAATGCGTGAACTTGTCCAAGCATGTCCTGATTATAATTGGCTGTTTAAAATTTAATCTTAGTCATGATTGGTCTCTTGTTGACAACTTTCTCTTATAGGTGTTTCACTTTCGCGCGCTTTTTATCAGCTTGTTATCAATGGAAATTTCGCGCGCATCAGTGCCCTTGTTGACCTTATTCTGTCAGTCGAGAAGCTTTCGCTCAGCAACCGCAAATTTGTTTTGCTTAATATAGACAGGTCGAAACAGGAATTTTTGGCCTAGTGGCAGTGCCCTACTCCTTTTCTTTCCGGACGGAAGAAATGAATAGCTATGTAAACAAGGCTTCTCCAGCAGCTCGACTTATAAAAGTAAAAATCGTAGTGGACAATTTCACAGTTTGGTGTAAGCGAAAAAAATGGCGTGAGCAATAATGAAAACAAACTTTATCATTCCACCTTAATTACGGCGCCCTTCAAGTAAATTATTTTAAATTGGATGGTTATGTGATTAACATAACAACAAACATTTTAATATCGCTTGGCATCAATTTATCCCCTCTGCTTTTGTGGGAATGTTTGGGGGGCCGAATATTTTATCAACACTAGTCTCTTTTGGTATGTTTGCAATTCGCGGACTTTTTAAAATCTATAAAATGTACAATCTGTTTCTCCTTCACCTGCTGTTTTTTCTTCTTCTTATTTAATTTTTATCGGTATCTATCGAAACCCGTGATCTCTCGTGGGACAAAATAGAGATATAAGAGCGCAATCCCTCTTTTTGGGTCAGTTTTTTTTTTTAAGGTAGGGGGGGTAAGGAGACTTCAAGATTAGAAGTTTGAAGTACTGGGCCAAAAGAGCTGTCAATTACCCCCTACCCAAACTTGATGATTGAAGAAAAGAACCTCGCCATTCCTTCTGTGTAGCTGCTGAATCGACAACCTTGAAGGTTTTCGTTGTTTAGCTTCGTCCCATTTTAGTTTACAGACATGTCTACTCACATTATTGGAAAAGCCCCTGTTTTGTTTGACACTTTGACCTTTCCGCGAGTTGAGGTTTGTGGTTGTCGAAATACATAAAATCAACATCTCCCTGGGTTTCAGCCTATCTTTTTTTCAATTTATAGAACACGTAGCGAATAAATTTTTAACATTTTTTAACTATTTCGACGGGAGGGGGGGGGTCGGTATAGACGCGTCATCCGACTTAATAGCAGGAAATATAGAAACACTTCCCTCCATTTGGCGCGAAAATATGCGGAGATATTTGTCTGCAGATGTTATCTGTTCCTTCTGTTTCGAGATGCGAACAGTTTTTCTGGAACCAAATGGAGGCTATTGTTCACATATTTTCGCGCCAACTGGAGGCTATTGTTCATATATTTTCGCGCCAAATGGAGGCTATTGTTCATATATTTTCGCGTCAAATGGAGGCTATTGTTCGTATATTTTCGCGCCAAATGTTGGGCTCGTTTTCAAGAGCACGGTGGTCGATCCTCCCAAGAACTGGAAGGAACGTGGGCTAATTTCTCGAGCAGTCGCTGGTATTCGACCCAAGCCAAACATGCCAAATGAAGGGTGGTTCCTGTATATCTTAACATAACTGCGTCCTTTGGACTGATGCTTTTGTACACAGCTGACACCAATTTCACATACTTTTTAAAAGTACCTTTATTGCCATTTTACACAGCCGCACAATTAGTTTGGTTATAGTTATCTTGATGCTTTTGTAAATACGGGTCGTAATTCATTTTATGAATTGAGTGGATATAGTTACGTTGGATAGCTTTAAATGTTGTTTAGATTCAAAATCTTTGACTTTTGCCTTCAGTCTTTAATGGAATCGTCATCTGTCTTGCTATGGTCGGGTCCATCAGAACGAACCAAAGTAATACACATTTATCAAATGAGATTATATGCTATGTGGGACAAACTCAGGGACTCTTGATACATACGTTACATGAGGTATTACCAATTATTAACGTCGCGTACTGAACACGTTAAAAAAAGGCGTGGTCATGGATGGAGACTGGGATATAATGTGCAACACCATGACTGACAAGGAAAATCAACTATCCAAATGTTTATGCTCTTGGGTGTCCAAAATAGATTTCTATTTATTTTTGTGATGTAAAAAATATTTATCTTCAACCAAAGTTCAATCGAGCCTCGTGTAAATATATGGGTTTCTCTGGTTGATCAAGTTACTTGTTCTAGGTGGAACTCTTCATCGCATTCAGTTGTCGTTTTCGTCTGACGCCATCAGCTATAACATCCTTGATGGTTTCTTCCGCTAACAGCGTGTTAAATTCCATCAGCTGACTCAAGCGATCAAATGAGTTGTGAGAGTAGTGGAAGTTGAATGTGCTGTAGTGATCATCAGGGTCTTCAAAAACTGCGAATGTTCCGAATTCCTTTTCTGAAGAGGTCTTGCGAGGTACACCTGGCAAGGTCAAACCATAAGTAAGCAAAACATGAGCAAATTAAATATTTGTTAGGCAGCTGCGACATACAGTCTCTCCGAGCTAAAATCTTCTCTTTTACTTTCCCTCTTCGTTAAGGGTTAGAAATTGATCATAGGAACAATTCTTATTTCTCACCTGGGGGGATGGGGTTGGAGGATTTTAGGGGTTTCACATAGTTTTCAGAGGGAATGGAGGGTGGATCAGTAGTCGCTTACGAAGTATAAAGGGGGGGGACTAAGGAAAATTGACTGCCGCTGAGGGGGGAGGGGAATGAGGAGGAAATCGGGTAAATTTTATTGTGATATTGTGATACAATCAAAATCCTCTGACCGAGCCCCCCCTCCCCCCACGGTGACAAATAATGACCGGTCCGTAGAAGCCTGTTTTTGCACAAGCTGGTCAGGGAACCCCATCCATTTTAGGTGGGAGGTATTGTTGAGGAAAGTCGACAGACTAAACCTTTTTTTGGGATACTTTTTGGTGTATTCAGAATATCATGTGACTGAACATACCTGGACGGCTGTAATCTTTGAAGGAGCCGTTCATCAACACAAAGTGTATGACCACAGGGCATTCTGGGTCGTTAGGATCAGAGAACACATAGAACTCCTTCAAACCATGTTCCTCGTATTGTTCCTTGGCATTAATGGGAGGGAATTTCAACCTGTTCTTTCTTGCCCATTCTTCTGCCAGCAAAAGTTCCTAAAGGAAAAAGAAGAAACAAGAGTATAGTCATTTTTGGGCATTTACGATACGTTGTACCTTTTGTTATCTATTAGCAAGACCTAGAGAAAGTTTGAAAAATCGATATAACTCGTCCCAGGAATAAAACTGGACAGGAATGAGGTTCAGGTGTGGCCGAGTGTGGAAAGTAAGTTCAGCTTCTGTTTTTTTCTTCAGTTGTATTTTCTTGGCTCAGTTTTACCACTTCTTCTTTATCAAGAGCGGTTTAAGTTTGAGGTCTCCAAACTTCACCGATACACGCCCGAGAACGAAATCAAACTTGACCAAAATGAGGAGAAAACACTTAGGCGCTCAGAGAGGAAGTAAATAGTTCAGACTGTCTTGGCTCGGCCCGCTTGACCGGATATGGGTCTGATATCATCATCATCATCATCATTTATTTGCATTTTTAAAAGGAAAAAAACTATTTACACATTATAATTTATATTAGAAGGCGAGGAGACCCAGAAAACCATCGGGCATATGGGAGAGGCCACCCCACTTACAAGAATATATTTAAAAAAGAATTAGTTTAGCGAATGTACGGCTTGGCCAGTTAAGTGATTATTTAAGTGAAAACTCTTGCATTTTCGTCTTAAAGCTGAGAAGATTTGAAGAACACTGAAGTGGGTGAAACAGGAAGAGGGTTCCAAATTTTAGGACCTTCGTAGGGAATTGTAAATCGCTCTAGATTGATACGACACAAATGCATTCGATAATGACTAGCTGTTCTGGTACCGTGGAACAAACTGAGTTTGGTTGTAGAGGACAGGAAAAAGCAAGAACTTGATATAACACCTATTGATTTAGTGATTTGTTTACATACATAGCTAATATCTTCTTAAATGCAAGTAAAGCCAGGGTCCGAAATTAACTTTTTCCTAAGGGAGCCAACTGGCGACTAACGAAAAAATTTTGGTCGCCAGATGGACGGGTTTGGTCGCCAAAAACAAGTGTTTGGTTTCTTGCTTGCACGCCACGATCGCGGCTTCGCCGCTGAATTTGCGCAAACTAAAAAAAAACGCAATCCCTCTGGAACCCATGGTATAACTTACCTTAATTTATAGTAAAGCACAAAATTAAACCTTTCAACAAAATGTTTTCATTTAACGCAATATACATACTTCACAAAAGCCGTGTAACGGTAACAGAGTCCTACATCTCAATGAGCGTGTTTGTCCGTTCGAAGAGCCCTCTTGTGAAGGCTTCGGATATCTTTCTCTTATTATTTCCATTCAGTTGGAGCTATGCTGGTACCCTGTTAACTTCTGTGTATAAGACATATGGGGGCCCTCTTTCTATACCTAGATTCAACTAAGAGTGCTTCGCCGAAACGGAACGAAAACGCAACGACGATCAATGTGCTAGTGCCAGGCCCTCACACTCTCATTGCTCGAACCGGTCCCCACCCATGTCGATGGCCAACCTCGATGGCCACGATAAAAAATATTGAGATAATAGAGACACTTTTGTTCTTTTTGTACTGGCTAAAATGCAATCGAACATTTATCTAAGTCGCTGAAACATTTCAGAGCGGATGTTTCGTCTCCTGAGAACAGCAAATCACGAAATGATCGCAAAGAGCTGATAGCCATATCAGTTGATAGCTGATAGCCAAAGAGCTGATAGCACATGTAGTACTCGGTAAGAGAACACCACAACTCGTATTTCAGAACTGGAATTTACAGGTATTTAAGTAAAGTATTGAGGACTAAGCGCATGTGATTCCGCCGACGCTTTCGATCCCGTCAGGATTTCGCCACGTCACGTTTTCGTCCGCGATATCCGTATTGGGAGAGGCCGCTGAAACAATATGGCGCCAGGTAAATATGGCGATCTTAAAATCGTCGCTTCGTTTTACTACAATTATCCACGGAGGCTTTAAGTTTTCTTTTAAAAAAAAAAGCCCTTTTACCTTGGAATTTCAAATGCCGAGGGGATTTGAAAAGGCTAGTCGCCTACTGGCGACCAGTTCTAAAATTCTGGTCGCGAACACCTAATTTTTGGTCGCATTGGCGACCAGTCAGTCGCAATTTCGGACCCTGAAAGCTGAAGTGGATGCAAAAAAATCACCTCAAAGGGCATCTCTATCTCTCTTTCCCTTGAACTGAAGTCAAATGACAGGAGTACGTCGCATCCTCGCTGGGGTCTTATTAGAAGTGGATACGGAGAATTGAACACGAGCCCACTGTCAGCCAGGAATATGCGCTTGGACTTCACGCTAAGTTGGTCAGCGGCATCGGTGACGTCCTCAGATTCTGTGTCATAAAGAACCATCAATAACATTTGTAATGTAATGAAGGTTATGCGCACTCTGAGTTTCCTGCGGATATAATGTAGCACTGGCTCCTCTGGGCAACCACTCGGCGCCAAGGAGTTACAAAACTCTTTTTATTAAAGATGGACAATTTCTTATTTTCTTCAAAGGGGAGAGAACCCATCGACTGTTTTTATACCTATGTAAAGAAAAATTTGGTTGCTTCTAGCTTAAATAGGACCCATTTTCCTTGATAAACAACGACGGTGACTCACCCAAGGGGACGGGAGCGAATGCAAGCCCTAGACCACGCAAGAAATTATGCACCCTTCCCGCACGGCCGGAGCGAGTTTGCAGCACAGGGAACTTGTTCATAAATCTCTGCGCTATTCTTCCCAGCAATCCAGGATCGTTGTGATCTTCTTCCTTTGGTTCCTCCATGTCGTTATCATCAAATACAGGTGCCTCTTTTATATGGTGACCATCAACGCTCTGTTCCTCTTCTTCACTGTCGCTTTCCTCATCATCGTCTTGGTTTTCTGAATACAGAATCTGATCTGGAGGATGGAGTGATATTTTTTGTAAGCATCTCGTATTTTCAGTTTCCTTTATTCAATGCAAAAGCCACAGGCCTCGAAGTGCGAGAAAACTGAGAGGGGTGACCACGTGGCGTTTTAGTCCCTGCAAGATGTTTGATTGGCTGCCGAGTATGGTCTGGGTCCTCCTCTAACCAATCACGGAGTGCCTGCAGCAAAGCCAATTACATGTAACAAGAAGTGTCACGTTCACAACATGACTTAGACCTTAGAGCTCCGATAGAGTACATGATTTTCAGCCACAAAGAAAGTAAAGAAATACATACGTAAGTCCTCTCTCATAACGGAGGAGCTGGGGCGAACTTTTTCAATTGCGCTCGGTACTTGACCCTCACTGAGTAGGCGCTGTAGCAAAACGGTGAAGGCGCTGCCCCAAATACCTGAGGAAGGAAAAGTGGAAGACAGAATGTCAGCTTGGTGTAAAGAACACAGTAGGTTTCGTTTTCTCTTCAACTTAAGATCGTCTTTGACCGATTTCTTTTGTGACGCATTACTCCGTTTACAGCTTGGGACCAGTGTTCCTAATGGCCCATCTGCGAATTACCATTGGCCCTCTTTCTCAAAACGAGTCATGGTGCCCAGCCTTTCAGATGATTAGAAGTTTTCATTCACATGCAAATTAAACTCATTTTCATACGAATGATTGAGCACCAGGCCTAGTTTTGAAAAAGAGGCCAAAGGTAATTCGGAAATGGCCTATTTAGAACCCCTAAGCAATCCCACAAGGCTATCTACTCTTTTGAAGTAAGGCAAATAGGCAGGAAAGGTGTTCGAGTGTTACTTACCTTGCAGATATTCCAAGGGGGGTTCAGGATACTGTGTGTGAAGTTGCCCACAGAAAAACTTGGATCCAAAATGCTCCGCTTTCATAAAAGTGCCATATTTAGCCATCCCCACTTCATAAGGGCTAAACTCTACCCATTCTGCGGTAAAAAGAACGCATCATACAAGTTGACGCATTCACAACTTGCCTTACACTTACATCTGCGCAACTGATGTAGTTCGTAGGCTGTGGTGGAGTATGTGATCGAGTATCTCGACCTTTCTGCACTTTTAATCCCAGTGAGGTACACATGGATCAGTAGTGGTGTATTATGAAGTGGGAATGTCCCTAAAAAGAAACTGTGGCGCTGCGTTGGAGAGTGGAGTGGGGGAGGGGAATATTACATGATGATTTGGTTTTATCGTACATATATCCTACAACAGCGGATAGCGTTACTCCGAATCCCTATGCCTATTTGGAATCGCTGTGCACTATGCCGCACTTTTAACGAATAACATTTGAAATCTTACCGTTGTAGCTTTTTGCAGAAACATCATTCTTCACCTGTACACAGGTGTATAGCGGAAGGGGAACATTTCCATATCTGACCGCGACACGTTGATCGCTCAGTTTCGGAATTGTTTTGCGCTGAAAACAAAGTTAGATATACAACGAGCAAGTAAAAAATTGCAACTTTTACGAAATGAAAATAGCCCATTTATTTTCCTTAGTTATTTGCTTCTAGCAAACTAAAAGAGCAGGTGAAAAGGAAGTATTTATCGTAACAGATTTAGTAATTACAAAAACGCTACACTAAGCTTGTTCTCAGACTGAGCGTGATCACAGACTGAGCGTGATCACAGACTGAGCGTGATCACAGACTGAGCGTGATCACAGACTGAGCGTGATCACAGACTGAGCGTGATCACAGACTGAGCGTGATCACAGACTGAGCGTGATCACAGACTGAGCGTGATCACAGAGTATGCATGACCACAGACTGAGCGTGATCACAGACTGAGCGTGATCACAGATTGATCGCGAAGTGAAATCTGAAAGGAGGGCGCCATGATGTAGCGTCACCGACAGAGTTAAAATGAATCAGAATGAACTCGTGTGTTGGGTTCGGTGCTGACTGTGGCATCTTTTCGTCGTGTCATTTTTTCGGTAATCAATCAGAAAAACATTGATAGGATTTCAAGTGACACTTACGTCTCTCAAGATGGTTTCACCCACAAGGTAGCCAAAGAAATCAGTAAAACTGATTGGCTGGCCTCGTACTTTTTTCTCATGGATGATTTTGATGTGCTTGTACAGCCACGAAGGTGTTAACAGCCTGATCCAGCTATATTGCACGTTATGTCTCAGCTGTTGCATAACTATCTTTGGATGGATATATGGAAATTTGGGATGAGAATATAACGCAGAGAGGTACCTACAATTAGTAAAAGATTGACATTATGTCATCGTTATTCAAGAATACAAGTTCTTCGGCGAAGTCCGTGACGCGTGTGAAAAAAACAAAATTAGCGAAAAGAAAATTTGGGGTTAGCGCTCCGTGTGGAACTGTGGGGATGAGGCAAAAGTAGGTACCCTACTTTCGAAGCGTCATAGAGGGACGATCGGGACATTTTGGATACATCAGTCATTTTTATTTTACACAGAGACACAAGCTTTTTGCTCAGAAGTCTGCAGTATGAGTTTCTGCCCTTTCTTGAACTCGTTTTCCATGCAGTTATCTTGCAGTCTTGCGCCATTTTGTTTTACTGAGAAACACAGACAGAAGTTAACCCTCTTGTCAATAACACAGTAAGCTATCTTTTGTTCCAGAGACTATAGTCTCTTGTACAAACTTACCAAGTTGACCCTGACAGTCCTGCGGCATACATGGCACAGTCCAGTACACCCATGTCTTTAAGAGCACAGAAGACACCACTTAGGCCAACCATGGCTCGAAAACCACCTCCAGACCCAACAATACCCACAGTTGGCAACTAGAAGGAAAATAACGACAACAAATAAGTGAGGTGTTCCAATGCAATTTTATAGTGACACTGGCACCAAATAAGTTGAATTAATTAGCATCAGACATCTTCATATTGACCATTCCGGTCACCAAAATGCTTTGCAATCGACGGGTTGGGCCAGAACGAGTGGTGGGGGGAGAGGGGGTTAGTAGACACCAATACACCTATTTTAAGCCAATGAGATGACAATCTACCTTAAAATTGTTTAGTTAAACTTTTGTACCGAATACCTTAAAATACGTAAAAGTGTTGAAACCTGTCGATATACAAAGACAAAACTTCTTGAAAAACGAGGTACTATTTACGCATTTTGTGATTCGGAAATACCGTAAGTAAATAAACACTCCGGATAGCTGAAAACCCCAAACCCTTGGCTGAGGCTGTCTTCAAAAGGCTAAGGAGGAAGTCGCATGAAAAAATAAATTAATTGATAAATAAAAGGCTAACCTCATCCATTCTCGCTGGTCCTCTTGGGCCGAGTAATTTCTTCATCGCTTGAAACAGGAAAGGCTTCCTATTCTCTCGAAAATCGATCTCCTCTTGGCATAGTTCCACGCTGTATCGTAGGTCACGGGGATCTTCACTACAATGGAAATAATTTTATTTCAGTTTACTGGTCACATTTTTCAAACATGTGTCACTATCGTTAGAACATGTGATTCACCAAGGCGCATGTGGGACAGGGAAAGGTTTTCATTTATGCAAGAAAATCGTACATGATTGGCTATTAACGTACTCGCACTAGCCAGTCAGATTTTAAATTGACGAAATATGTTATTGGTTTTGTCATGGAGTGGAGAGACAGAAAGGTAGAGAAAAAAATTCTTCAACGAGGCATTAAAACCCTTACGATTGGATTCGCACCCTGATGGTCTACCTTTAAGCCACAGGGCGGGAATTCGTTGGTGAGCTTCACAAACCTTGAATATAGGTTCAGGACAAGGGAAGAAAGTATTGATATATGAAGCTTATAGAGCAGTTTTCATTGGGTTTTGAAGGTGATTCGAAATTGCTTTCGTTTTGCTTTACTTCGCTCTATGATTGATTCAGAAAACTCGCGGCACTCTCGTAACCAATCAGATGGAAAACGAAACCCAAACACGTCTTGGTCGCGCACGTTTTCCCGCGTTTTACGAAGTAGTCGGCTAGCTTCTTACTTTGAATTTTCCTTTCTTCGAATTGGCTTTCGTGATCACTTTGATTTTGATTTTGCTTTTGCAATCAGCCCTCTAAATGGCCTTTTCTCTGTAGCTCTGTACAAGTAGTCTTTAGGGCCAGGTTGTTTATCGCTGGGTTAAGATAACCCGCAGTTAGCGTATGTTTTTTGTCTAAACCTTTGATTATTGGATGCCCTATCCTAAATAGAGAAGAGTGATCCGAAAAAAGCTTTTGAAGGGGGGAATGAAAAAAACCCGGGTTAAAATTTAACCATGGGTTAGTGCAAATCCGGCGGCCTTCGAACGACTGGGCCCAGTTATACAGCACACGAATGCTCATGATCTATCAAGTCCTTGAATAAGAGAAGATGAAAAATTTACCATTTTCTAAGTTCAAGCGTAATGTCCACCTCTGACTTCTGCATGTAAAAATGAACAAAGAAGTAGACAATGTTAGAGGCCTAGATTCTAGGTGAAAACTGGATTGGTTAGCAAAAACAAGAGATTTTAACTAAAGTGTGCTCTAGGATTTGTTTTATCACTGATGTGAAAAGTAATAGGAGTACCCACGACGTGAAACAGATATACACACCCTTCATAAACAGCTAAGCAATGAACGAATCGTTGAGGATAGAATGAAAACTTTCCTCCAAAATAATCAGGAAAGTCCCTCAAGATAAAAAAGGAACTTTAAAAATATTCGTTGGTCTCGTTTATTCTAAACACAGTTTTCTAAAATATCAACAATATCAATACCTTTCGAAATACGAAGGTTTTACGACAGATTCTATCAATTTCCAGACCATCCAAGGGAAATATCTGTGTTTTTCCGACGACATCATCACTAAACGTATCAGCGTCCATCAGTGTAATATCTGGGGAAGAAAACCCAAACCGAAACAATTACAAATGAAGTCGGCAAAAGAAAAGAGAAATCATCTATTTTTCAAAGTTTAAAATCAGTTTCAACCAGTAACACTTACGTAACACGTTTTCCAATTCTTTGTCGATGAGAAACTTGAATTCTTCGTTCCAAACAGGGTTAGGATCATTAGATATGAATTGTGTTTTGGTCCTTCCATTTGGAGCATTCTGGATATATAACTTGACATATGGATCTGGTGTGTCCACTATAGAACACAAGCGCAAAACGATTTATTATCCAGGCACCTGACTTACAGACTGAGTCACTGACTGACGAGTTGAGTTACTCATTTACTGACTTATTGACTTCAACTGGCTGAAAGTAGGGAGTCGATGAGTAAATGAGTCTGTGCGTCAGTACGTCAGTCTCTTCGTCAGTGAAAGGGTCAGTGCACTTTCTAACTGAATGGGCATCATCAATACTAAATTCCTTTCATTATTTAGTAGCAACCCTGAGATACTTTTAAACGAAGGAAATAAAATAAAGTGTTAGTGTCACCGAGTCGGTCAGTAAATTTAGGAGCCAGTGATTGAGTCAGTGAGATCAGTCAGTCAGTCAGTCAGTCAGTCAGTCAGTCAGTTAGCTTGTCATTCAGTTAGTCAGTGAGTCAGTCACTAAGTCATGTGATCAGTGATTGAGTCGATCAATAGGTCAGGGAGGTAATGAGTCTGTAAGTTAGTGAGGCAGTGAGTCGGTCAGTATGTCAGTCAGTTAGTTTGTCAGCCAGTCAGTCAGTTAGTAAGTCAGAGGGTGAGTGAAGGATTGAACCAGTGAATCAGTAAATCAGTAAATCTGTAGGTCAGTGAATCAATCAGTAGATCAGTGGATCAGTGGATTAGCGAAACAGTAAGTCAGTGAGTCAGTGAATTTAGTGAATCAGTGGATTAGTGGATCTGTGGATTAGTGGATCTGTGGGTCAGTGAGTAAGTCAGTTAATTAGAACGCGTGGCTTTATTGGTTGTTATCAGTATAACTATTCGCTATCATTTTTATTTACGGATGTCATTCAAGGCGCCAAGTGAGACATTCCGTCCACAGAGAACGTTGACGATGAGTTCATAACACTGGCGGTGGCAACACTGGAACTAGAAAAGGAGGACAATCTGTAAGAAAAGGAAACTTCTGGACCTTTCAAATCCAATCAGGGTTCAAACGAGTTTTTCCACCCTTTTCACCATAAGCAGCAAAGGCGAAAATATGAATTAGATCAGCTATGGATAAGTGCAACCTGGTAGGTGATTTGTATAGGTAATCACATGATTTCGAGTGCAATTTGGAATAAAGAAGCAGGAGTAAATTTTTTCAAAGACTAACAAAATTGCATGAGCCCGTAGGGCGAGTGCAATTTACCTTAACCAATCAGAACTGAGAACTTTTTTCATGTATATTATCAACCTCAGTAAATTACTTGGTACAATGTTACCACAATGGCTGAGAAGAAACAAGCTCAACTTAACGTTGTATTTACCCAGATATACCTGATACATAATTTTAAAAATGAAGCCACGATTATTAACCCCATTTCTAACTGATCGCATATCACGAGAGCTCCATTCTGTCGAAAAGAACATCCGTTTGTTCGATGAGATGTCACTGATTTGCGACGGGAGTGCGTATTCAAAATAGGTCTAATCTGTCAAATTATCTCCTGTCCGATCCTTTCCACCGAGTCTTAAAAAAATTTGATACTTCTTCTAACCGTGTAAACTAACATATGAGAAAATTCGTGTCATTTATCGGTTGATATTCATGAAAAAATTACTCCGTTCTGATTAGTTAAGATAAATGCAGTTTTCAGGCAATTCAGTGCAGACGAGAGTTAATTCAGTGCAGAAGAGGGTTAATTCAGTGCAAAGAAAGTAACA